TGTGCGGGTGTGTTAAATGGGGCGTGGCCTGTGCGGGTGTGTTAAATGGGGCGTGGCCTGTGCAGGTGTGTTAAATGGGGCGTGGCCTGTGTGGGTGTGTTTGGGAGGGGCGTGGCCTGTGCGGGTGTGTTAAATGGGGCGTGGCCTGTGCGGGTGGGCGGAGCCTCACTGTCCCCGCCCCCCCGAGGTGGTGGTGGCCACCAACATCGCGGAGACGTCGGTGACGATCGATGGCATCGTCTACGTGCTGGACCCCGGCTTCTGCAAACAGAAGAGCTACAGCGCCCGCACCGGCATGGAGTCACTGGTGGTGACACCGTGTTCCAGGGTAAGGGCACACCTGTGTCACCTGAGTGTCACCTGTGTCACCTGTGTCACCTGTGTCACCTGTGTGTCACCTCATTGTTACCTGTGTCACCCACTGTGAGCCCCCGCACCGGCATGGAGTCACTGGTGGTGACACCCTGCTCCAGGGTAAGGGCACACCTGTGTCACCTGTGTCACCTCCTGTGTGTCACCTGTGTCACCTGTGTCACCTGTGTGTCACCTGTGTCACCTGTGTCACCTCCTGTGTGTCACCTGTGTCACCTCCTGTGTGTCACCTGTGTGTCACCTGTGTCACCTGTGTGTCACCTGTGTCACCTCCTGTGTGTCACCTGTGTCGCCTCCTGTGTGTCACCTGTGTGTCACCTGTGTGTCACCTGTGTGTCACCTGTGTGACCTCATTGTCACATCACTGTCACACCCTTGGGTCCCCTTGAACTGCCCTGTCCCTGTATCCCAGGTGAGGTGTCCCCAGGTGTCCCCAGGTGTCTCAGGTGTCCCAGGTGAGGTGTCCCCGGTGTCCCAGGTGTCCCAGGTGTCTCAGGTGAGGTGTCCCAGGTGTCCCTGGTGTCCCCAGGTATCTCAGGTGTCCCCAGGTGTCCCAGGTGAGGTGTCCCAGGTATCTCAGGTGTCCCAGGTATCTCAGGTGTCCCAGGTGAGGTGTCCCAGGTGTCCCCAGGTGTCCCAGATCAGGTGTCCCAGGTGTCCCAGGTGTCCCAGGTCAGGTGTCCCAGGTGTCCCAGCTGTCCCAGCTGTCCCAGCTGTCCCAGGTGAGGTGTCCCAGCTGTCCCAGGTCAGGTGTCCCAGGTGTCCCCAGGTGTCCCAGGTGTCCCCGTGCCCGCAGGCCTCAGCCAATCAGCGCGCAGGCCGCGCCGGCCGCGTGGCTCCCGGGAAATGTTTCCGTCTCTACACGGCCTGGGCGTTCCAGCACGAGCTGGAGGAGACGGCGGTGCCCGAGATCCAGAGAGCCGACCTGGGGTCACTCGTGCTGCTCCTCAAGAGCCTGGGTGAGCCTCTGGGGACACTGGGGACACTGGGGTGACACTGGGGACACTGGGGGGACACTGGGGTGACACTGGGGTGACACTGGAGACGGCGGTGCCCGAGATCCAGAGAGCCGACCTGGGGTCCCTGGTGCTGCTCCTCAAGAGCCTGGGTGAGCCTCTGGGGACACTGGGGACACTGGGGGGACACTGGGGACACTGGGGTGACACTGGGGTGACACTGGGGACACTGGGGGGACACTGGGGACACTGGGGTGACACTGGGGGGACACCGGGGACACATCGCCCTCTCGCCCTGCCAGGTGGCTCCTGCAGGGCCCGGAGGATCGCAGGGCTCGGGTAAGCCACCCTCCAGGTAAGTCCTGTCCAGGTGCTGCTGGAGAATCCAAGGAATTGGGGCTATTCCAGGTGTTGGGAAGCAAAGGAGGCG